ATGATTCTTACCGTCGCTTCCTGCGCGAATGCAGCTGAATAACCACTAGACGAAAGGGTTTGGCTTCAAGCACCCCCACCAGAGTGGCAAAACCACTCCCCCCAAAAAACCGCCGCCTTGCAGAAGGTTTGCACATGGTCCATGGTGCCCTTCCGTCCCCTCATGGTCCCACCTCCCCCAAAATGGGGCCGGACGGACTCTAAACCCGACCAAAAGCCACTCTAAACTCGTCAACAAGTATGGCCAGGAGCCCCGTTTGTAGCGTCCTTCCTACAAGAGCCCCGTTTGTAGCGTCCTTGTTCATCAACTATGGCCATATATACTGGGGCCAATAAGGGGTTCCGCACCTCCGCAGCACCTCCGCAGTCCCGGCCGGACGAAATTCCGGAGCCCCGTTTTTCGCTCCATCGTTCCGCTGGGCTGGTTCCGGCGGCGCGACTTGGGCGACCTCTCCGGCTCGACCTCCTCGCCGTCCTCGGCGTCTTTGCGGTGAACCCGCCCGACATCACGGGGCGTCAGGCCTTTAGCAGTGGGGGGTAGGGCTAATCTCCATAACTGAAGGACTGAAGGGGTTCAACATGGTTCAGATATGTTCACTTGATCTCTGATGCTGTGCCATGCACTTGCGCGGAGCAGTTCAGAGATAGGAGACTCTTCGGTGGAGCCATCGACGTGTTTTCGTCCTTTTTTGGGCGCCGATCGTTCGAGCAAACCTCGAGGTGGACACGAGGCATGGCAAATGGGGTGGACGTCGGACAGCCTGCAACGGACGTAGGGTTTTCCCCGGGCCCTGGGGGACGATTCGCCAAGCTGGTCTGGTCAAATGTATCTCCCTAAGGTTCCGGACCCTCAAAAACTCAGGGTTTGGTTTTGAGGGCCCAACTCGAGCTCTGTTTCATTGAGGCTTGGTGTCGGTGTCGGGTCTGTTCGGATGGGCGGACGACCCTGAAAACTTGATGCGGATGATGCGGTTCTCGAACCGAAGCACTTCGAATCCAAGTACAGTGGACAGTTCTGCATCCAGCTGTTCGGTGGCACCAGGGCGGATCCTTTGTGAAATGACCGGCTGCTAGGCAGGCTGCAAGGCAGCGCATGCGAAGGGAATCAAGGGAGGACAAAGGAAGTGAAGGATCGGTGTTCTTCCTCTGCGCTGTGAAAGAGCATGGACCAAAAAACAGTCACCTGCCTTCAAGACTGACCGACCCCCAAATATGCGAGACCCCTGGAACAAATGTGGCACCAAGTCCTCTAGTCCACTCTTGCCTAGTCATCCACAGCAACTGGGTGCGGGTCGAAGATCTTAGTTTTGGAATATAGAATCGCATAAAATTTTTGGCTGTCCATTTTGCCAATATTTTTAAACCTGCAGTGGTTTAGTAGGAAATCATAGGAAATCCCATATAGTATAAACCAAACAGAAAGGATTCGCCTCGTAGTGGGGTTGAGTACCTATGCCTTCTGGCTTCAAACAGTCTTTGCGAACTCGTTCAGTCCATGTCTCACTGCGTCGTAGCACTTGCCGCTTCGCCGCGACCTCATTCTCCTCGACCAGCACCTCCGCATCATCCAGTGCCAACACCGCAGCAGCTGCCCGCGCGGTGCGGGCAGCGCTGCTCAGCAGGTAGTTCTGCCTGCCGGCTCTGTAGGTCCGTCGGTAGGTCCGCTTCAAGCCGTGATCACTTTGGATCTATACTGAGATTCCACCGTGTTCCTTGCTTCAACGGATTCAAGCTCTAGCTTCACAGGTCAACATTGCAGTCCAAAAGGCCACCGGACACAGACACGCAGGTTGTCACTTTTCGCTCCCACCAACAAAAAACCAGCACGATGCTCAGCTCAGCAATGCCGTGGCTGTGAGACGACTGGCGACGGATGGCGGACGCGACTGATGACTCCACCTGATGGTGGACTTGGAAGTGCCTAGGACCTTGATGCAGGGCTGTTTCTCCTGAAAAATGCGGTTGCTTTCCTGAGCAGGATCGCAGGATCCGGCGACGGGCCACAACGCAGCTGGACCAAAAAGGGGCGGAGGGAGGAAGCCGTGTTTTGGATTCAGTTTTTGGCACTGGCAGTCCAAGACCATTAAAACAATTGTTTTTGTAGTGTGAAATCCTTAGTAAAACAATAGTTGCTGGGCTTGTTGGGTAATAACGATGTAAAACATGGTGGGCCGAGACTTCTAGGGTTTGTGTCTGGTGGAAGCACGTGGACATCGCATGCCCCTCCGATGCTGGAACTTGATTTGTGGAAACGTCGCACTTGTACCTGACTCCAACAGTTTCCCTGGAAAGGAACAGGTTAACCATAAAAAGTCCACATCTCGATCAGGATCGGGACCCTCAAAAACACGGGTTTTGAGGGTACAAACCAGTACAACCCCCTCAAGGATCCCCTTGGGGATGTTGGATTTTCGTGGGGCGTCTCCAACCCCCCGCAACTAAATTTTAAAGGTTGTCCACTGACAGGGTAGGAACATCAAATTTCTGTCCACAGCCAGAACTCCAATGCCATTTCAGCCATTTTTGGGACCCAGCCTTATGTAAACCACCATTTGGGAAATAGAACCAAAGGTCTTCAGGCTAAGTCTTCATCGGATGAACATCCCTTTGAGGATTCTTCCACACCGAAGCGAATGGATCTCCTGGTGTGGTTTACTCCTCGTTGTGGTTTCTGTTTCGGCGGGCGACCAGTTTCAGAACCTCACACCCCCCCTTTTGTGTGAAAAACCTTATTAAGGATGGCGGAAGGCTTCAACAACAGCTGGGAATCATTTTAGACATAATTTTCAGACGAATAGGAAGAAACATGGACACAGTACTGACATACATCAACGACAAACTAACCAAAATAAACTTGACTAACAAAAAGAGAGGCAACCATGCAATCTGGATTTGGTGAATCATGCAATCCTATCATACGCTGGCGACCCCTGGCGGTTGCGTGCGCCCTGGCGGCACACAGGTCAACTTTCAGTGTTTGGGACTTTGGTCAGATCGCTTGGGATGAATGGATGACATCTGTGTCTTCGTGTTTTCCATCTCCACACTCGACGTGGTCCTGCCCCACCGATGCCAATCACTGGGGATCGACACCACGTCCGATCCGCGGCCCACCCAGGAAACGGTCTTGTCTACATAGACAGGGTCCTCCCCTCAGTGTTGTCTACTGTAACGAAAAGCTGTGAGGGTCCCATGGTCCTCCAAGCTGAACGGCAAAAACCAGGTGCAGTCTGAGCTTCCAAGATCGCCTTGGCCTTCTCTTGAACCTGAATCCCCACGCCACCATTGTTGCTGAGCGTGTTCGTCCGGGCGACGCCACCTTGGATAGCTGAGAAGAAGAAGACCCACCTGGGACCCAAGTGATGGAGAGTGACCCTGGGTTGCACCAACTCTTAAACCAGGTTCTATCAGTTTGGCCATCCGTTGTATTCCGTTGTCTTGGCCTATAGACTACGTCATCCGGATCTCCAGACTGGACCACCCACGTTCCGGATGGTCCAGGGCCTTGGGATGCCTTCGTCTTTTTTCACGCCTCCACGTCTCCGCGTCTTTTCAAGTTTAAAGGGTACCAAACACCAGACAGTCAGATGTCCATGTCCTAGGTCGGCGGCTCCATCGCCGCACTCCGTCGAAGCCCGTCCGTTCGCCCCGAGCCCCGGCCGCACGGACGCCTTTAGCCATGAGTCGACCCGCGTCGACCGCGAGCGGGACTGACCAGGTGGTGGAGAACAAGTGCTCCACGAGCATGTGGATTGATCCAATCAACATCCAATAACTTTGCAAAGATTGATCTCTATACCAGCACCCTCACTGCCAGGTCGTTAGTTGAGGGTTGGGAAGGGCCCTAACAGATCTCAAATGGTGACCTGTCGGAGGGTCCTGGTACGTAGAGACCACTATTGCGCCCCGGAGTGGGGTGATCCACGATGGCCACCGTCGTGTGGCAACGTGGTGTGCCCTGACATGCCTTGACCGCCCTTGAGACGTGCCCGACGTCTGTGCACTTCCGTGAAACGCCCGAGACGAACGGGGATCCCCGGTGAACCTGCGTTGGTTTCTTCCACCGGTCGACGCAGCATGCGAAAGCGCGAACGCGTTGGCATGGTCTTTAGCTCAAGCATGGCATGGTTCGTGATGGACCCCTGATTCAACTAAAGGTCTCAAGCATTTTTAAGCCCTTTGGCCAGTTTGCTGGACCACAGCCGTCCACATCTGGGTCATCTGGGCTCTGGTTGCTACCAAGTGGCTGGCAGATCCCTCCAGCATGATCGCGGCCTGTCTTCGACGGCGGTCAAGGACGGCGCCGGACAAACGCGATGGTGGATTGATGCCCGAAGGTTCTACGGAGCGACTCTTTCTTTGGAGGTACGGACTGGATCCCCTAGGGATCTTTGGATGTCTTGGTATATCAATTCGATTCTTCCCTGACTCCCTCAGTTCATCCGAGAATTCTGTTTAACTTTTTTCACCTGCTCGTTTTGGAGCAACATTGTCTCCAATCTTGACCAAAAAGTTTTGGTTTTCCCTGCAGGTGGTCCAGTATTTCCTGGGTAGGAACTAGCTAGGATTCCTCCTACAGATTCCAGTATTTAAGACACCATGACATCCTGCCGAATCCTGGACGTTTCTTTTTCCGTTACGGATCCAACGGCGTTGGGGCTCAGATCAGGAGACACTGGTTGACATGTCGACAGAACCATTTTTCACCTGTTCGACAATTGGGATAACAATTCCCTGTCATAGCAATGAACAGCAGGTCACTCAACACTATCTCACAAACTACCAGCACCCTCCAACAGGTCTCCGAAATGATAGCTGTTGGAGACTTTTTCAAGTGGCTTTTGTGGCGACCTGTGAAGTCGGGTGCTGGTATAATGTATTCTTTTAAAACCCCTTTTTGGTGCCGGGGAGTCAAGAATAGACGTGTCCTTCCCACCCATGCTCCAGGCTGCATGCTTGAATTCTTCCAGCACATTCTCCTCCATCACGGCCTGTGCTTCATCACTCACCAGGATACCTTGGAGCAACGCAAACGAACTCAGCCGTGTGACTCCAGCAGCTTTTGATCCCTGCCAGCCCGGCTTTCGATCGAATAGGGTCAACTTCTTCAACCTGATCGGCGGAAAAACCGATGCTCCCAATGGGTCAACTTAAAAGGACACGGGGGGAGCGACTGCTTAGGCATCTCCGCCACTACGGCTTTTGAAGACTAACTCCCAGCACTTCCTGAAGCACCGTCGGACCAGCACATGTGCTGGAAGGTTCAAGCAAGTTTCGTCTGGTCGAACTGACCTCGGCATTTGTCCGCCGGCTTTGGCAACCTTCTTGACCCTAGGCTTCCAACCACCATTAACTTAATAGGCTTTGCCGAATCAACTAAGGATTTTACACTACACGGAACCATTGTTTCAATGGTCTTGGAAGTCTAGGGTGATAGTCAGCACGCCCAGTGCTTGAATTTTCCTTGACCTTCTGCGTGGCGCTGGCGAAGCAGGAACTCCCAGGGAGGCCTCTCCGCTCCCGACGAATTGGACATGGCCATTCCACCGGTTTCGACCCGGTTTCGTTGTGAACACCGACGACGCACGAGCGCCCGGATGGGAGGTCCCGACTAATGGGACTGCCATAGGACTGCCGATCCGTTGACCCCCAGTCAACCACCCCTGGCCTGATCGGCATATATACCAGTCCCATGGAGTGTCTGGGGAATGGTGAGCGAAAAGAAGAGTCTTCGGGGCCACTTCCGAAGAGAAAAACCGCAAAGGTCCGACTCCCAAGCCATTTTCCCTTGAAACAATTAACCGAACTGTCCGCCTGTTTAGTGGGGTGTCTCCATTTCCCAACAATGGGACCTGGGCCCAGGTGATCTAAATACTTCCTGTCTCGGAACATGTTGATGATCCTTTGAAGGTTTTGCACCCTGAAAGCACAGATCCACCACCTCACCAGGCACTTGAGTCACAAACTTCCACCTCCCCTCCTCCCCACCCTCCCACCCTTCACTTATAGATTCTCCTCCTATCAAGGTACCATAGCCATCGTTGGCCTTCATCCGGTTGCACCGCACCGTCGCCTTCGCAGTGTCTTTGACCGCGAGCACTGAGCGCTTGATCCCACGTTGGAGGTTCACCTCGGTGCCGAGCCGACGTTTTGTTGGTTCATCCAACCTAATAGCAAACGATATTAGACCAGCACCTTCATTCCGGGGTCACCTGGCTGGTTTCGCCCGAGCCCTACTTAGGGACCTCCAAACAGGACATCCCGAAAGAAGGTCCAGGGACCTTTTTTCGTGTGCTTCTTCTTTGTTTCTAGCAATGGAGGCCTTTTGATGTTCGACTTCCACTCCTGGACTCCGACTCAGAAAAAGTCTGGCTTTGGGGGGATCAATGTATAGTCCCGTTACATGGAGTGTTGACGGACTGGTACTATGTAGCATGTGGAGACTTAGGACTGGTACACCCCCGGCCCAAAACATGCTGAGAAACGAAAAAAGAGAACGCGGCCCCAGACCTGACATAGTTACTCTTGGTTTCTGGACGTGTCTCACAAAATCTGGTCTGCCGTCATCCCAAAAGAGAAGCTTTTGCAGGTGATCCAGGTACTTCCTGGGTTTAGGGCATTAGGACCTTATTATATACGTTTGTTTTTTTGGGGGGGATATCACGAGAGATGAGCTGGATGAGCTGTCTTCGGGGCCTTGAACACTTTGAGGTCAAAAGGGTCAACCTTTTGCGTCCGGAGCCGCAAACCACGCGGCGCGGCGCAGGCAGGGAGGGGATCCAATTCTGGGGAGGCCAGGGAGGCCATCCCAAGGGCCTGCTCTTCGTGGCGAAGAGCAGCTTGTCGCCAGAAAGAACCTGTGATGAGAGAAGTTATCCACAACCACTGCATTATGTAACAAGTTGCACGTTATTGGTCTCTGATAAAAAGCTTAAAGTTGTGGACAGTTACCTGTCTTACAGTGATCCCCCCGTCTTGGATATTTTCAAGAGAAGTCATCTGACCTATATTATATGGTCAGGGGTCCCCCAAAATGAAGGGGTTCGATACCTTGTTGTTATCTAGCCCTCCCTCCCGAAAAACGGACAAACATAATACACGCACACACCCCAAAAAAGGAGGCCAACACAATTGGATCTTCGTCATTTGTTCACGAATCGTCGTGTTGCAGCCCAGGTACGCCTGACAAGGTGCCGCCCTCCCCATCGTGTTGCTGTCCAACGCGCATGGGCTCCTGCCATCGACCAAGTTGAAGCCACTTAGTCTGACGGATCAACTCAGAGTCTGACGGACTGGCTCCCGAGTGGTTTTCCCTGGCAAAAAAACTGCTGAACGCAATCCAACTTTCCACCTGCTTGGTTTTGGGTGGGGAAGCCAATCCCCCCAAAAAGGTTTTGCAGGTTGCCCATTGACGAGGTAAGCATACAACGCAAGGCACGTCTCCAACTTGGACGGACTGGTCGGTCATGTTGAGGTTGGGTGACCCGGGATATTTCCAACTGTTCTGGCAAACGCTCATAATAAAATACACAAATCTGTTATAAAAGCTTTGCCAAACCTCTCGCGAGGTGTCAAGCTTTCAAACACGCCACGATGTGCTGCCACGGCACGCGGCCAAAGACGACTTGTCTGGGACTGAACTATTTACAGTACAGTACATATTTACATTGGGGCGGAAAAGGGGTGAAGGTTGGTACATCTGCCAGTCCCATTCCCTAGGGCCTCCTCAGAAGGTATTGGAACCCTCTAAACCCACCCCAGTCCCACCTTCTTAGAATGTACGACTGGAGCTCTAGGGATTAGCCGTGTCTGGGTGTGTACCGTTCCGCGAGACGGGCCGGGCGTCAGCTTCATGGGGGGCGCCCGTCTTCGCCGCCCAGAGGCCCCGTCCTTGATCTGGTACGGCACATTCGTCTCCCTTAGGGGGGGCGTCCAAGGGCGTCCATGGCGGGATGAGTCCGAGGCCATACGCGAGGCCATACATGAGGCCATACGCGTTTGGGTCTTTCTTTTCCACAAAGACCCTGGTAGGAAGAAGAGCCTGACCAAAGTGGAAGAAGAGCCTGAACGAAGCCACAAAGTGGAAGAGGAGCCTTTGAACGGCTGACCAAACCCGAAGTCGTCTTTCTTCGCTCTGAGAGTGCCTCTCCGTCCTCAGGCAGAACATCTTTGCTGAGGATCAAGCACTGAATTACTGACTAAAGGATAGCAAAATGCTACAAAACTGATCACTGGCATGCCACTGACTGGACAAAGCATACATTGGCCACCATTTTGCTGGCGCAGTGCCAGTATTGATCCTTCTTAAGCTCATCAACAACAACCACAGATCCATCCAAATCATCTATCAAAACTGATTCATCAATTCATGACGGCTCATGAATCGTCCCTCATATTTGGCTGTTCAACCATCCTATTTCCCAAAATCATCAACATCTTCAAAAAGGGGGTGCACTTCTGGGGGAGTCTTGCTTCTCTTCAACCATCCACCAAGGACCCCCGGTCGCTTGCACACTCCGCAGAATTGCCCAGCGGCCCAGCGCGATTGCGGATCATCTGCGCTGACTCGTCCAGGTTGGCCCAGTCAGAGCCTTCAGCTCCGCTGATGTAGGAGAGCTGGTGCGTCAAGCCGTTCACGTCCTTCTCCTTGGAGGCGGGTCATCGAGTCATCAAGCTCGGTCGCTCGACCCACGCGACGTTGTTCCACGCACGCAGAGAAGAAGGGCGGATTGGGCAAGTTCCGAACCCATTGCAGCTACTAGGACCGAGAATCTACGATCCGATCTACGTTCTTCGTTCCGGCCACACCACCTCTATAGACTTGAGGAATAGACTTGAGGAATATGCCAATCTGCGAGATGGGCACATGGAACATTCACATGCAAAACAAACCCTAGGGATCCAGTCGTACCTTCTCAGGTACGGTGATTGGAGGCACTGTTATGTATAGGTTTGGAGGGTCCAGTCGTACCGAACCTGAGAAGGTACGACTGGATCTATAGGGAAATCTGACATCGAAAAGCACAAGACTTCCAAGTGTCTCGCTTGGCCACAATCTTCGCCTTCACTGGACCTGACGGTGTTGGGCACAGGTCCGGTCCTCTTGTCCATGCTGCCGGTGATGCTGCCGGTGTTTAAAAGCTCTTGAAGCATCTCCCTTAACATTGAAACACCCAACAGGGCAGTGGATACTCGCAAATCCCACCGCAACACAGGCATCAAAATTGGCGTCCCTTCCGGGAGCCCGCGTATTATACCAGACGATAAAGGGTGATCAACACTAATCCTGATACCACAACATTGCTAAAAGGCTACTGGTGAGGCTTGTCTCATGGGTAACTGGGCCTTATAGCGACTGGTTCTACAGGAACCAGCCATTTAGCAGGAATCACAACTAAGAAGCATGATGGAATTGCATGATTATTGTGTTTGCTAGGAGTGAACACACTGAACTTTCAGGAGACAAACTGTGGATGAACACACATACAAACGCCAGTTGTCAAGGTTCCACCCGCTTTCCTCGTGGGTTCTCTGGCGTGAGTGATAGTTTTGTGTTGCTAATCTGAACTGTGCCCACAGATCAAGGATCCAGGTCACTGGAAAGGCGTTGGGTTGTATGTCCACCAAAGGAACGTGCATACATCCTGGCAGGGAACACAACGGTTTTGCTGAATCATCTTGTTATCATCTTGTATCCCATGAAGATCTCCAGGTAGCCTTTTGTCATTTTGTTTGGGATCGTCGACAACCGAAAGACAGAGATGCCGCCAACAGTAGCCCTTTCCAGGACGGTTTAGATATTCTTACAAGATTATATATCACACCTATGCGGGCAAAGGCCATGAGTGTATCTAGACTTGTTACTTTTCTTCGCCACAGGAAATTCAATACTGAACAACAACGAACAACGACAATCACAACCACAACAAAGCCACAACCAGCAGAAAACAACAAACCAACAGCATTAACGTCAGGAGGCAAAACAGCTGCAACAACCACCGTGGACACCAAAAATAATTCAGAAACACACACACACACCCACACCCCCACACCCACACCCTGTCCCCCTCCTGCATAGCAGGGCCGTAGAAACCTCGACACCCTCATACGCGCCACCCAAGAAAATCCTCCCACCGACCGCTCTCTTTTTCCGCGGCGACGAGACGACGACCATGCGACCGGCGGCTGCGACGCCTGCGGCGCCGTGGAACTCGAGGACCGGCGGCGACTTGCCGTTCTTCTCAAAAACCTGGGCTGCAGATGTGGATGATAAAATTGTGAAAACCATGGGTTTCCTATTGATTTTCCAAACAAAACCAATTCACCTTGCATGGCGCACCTCACTTGGCTGGAGCGATGGTGGCTACTAAAACACACGAAATGACATCTGGAACATTACACACCCTAGAACAATCATGGTTATATGGACGGCATGGCCCCTTGGATGACCATGAAATCCACATACCAAAGAAAAAGGTGGTGCCATCCACGAAACCATGAGGATCTCAGGGAGTTATAAATTCAAATGTTGGACTTCGAATGACTTCGACCATGTGCTGGAACGCAATATACGAAACTAGTGAAGTAATCTAGCTGATCCCCGTGGCTTTGTCTTTACCCAAATGCAAGATTCCCAGGCCAGCGAACACGTGGCTCGACTCCACCCTCAAGTAAGTGGAGACGTTGAAGATGGAGTCGAAGCCGTTAACTGCTCTCATCCAACCCATCCCTTTCCATCTGTTAACTCATACTTAGTGGGGCGTCTCCAATCTCCCAAAATGGTTTTGGTGATCCATCCACTTCCGATAGAGTCTATCCTCCAACCCCTCCACCCCATTCCGCTCCACTGCTCCCCACCCCTTTCTTCCGCTCCGCTGCTCCCGGGCGGCGTTGGACTCCACGGTGACCTCGGCGGAGCCGTTCACCAGGACCACAGCTCCGTCGTTGCGCTCCTGGGCCGCGGACGGAGCGATCCCTGACGCGATCGCTGACGACCTGACCGCAGGCACCATGTAGGCAGACATGCGTCACCATGGATCGTGTGGGCATGGTAGGCAAGCTTGGGCAAGCCAGGGAGTCATGGAATAAATGGCAATGGTTGAACTGTCTTTGAACTGTCTGGTAGTGATGGTAGTGAAGATCGGACTCTGGATGGTAGTGACAAACTCTTGCACAATGCTGGGTTTGACAGTTTTGGGGGTTCTCTTACAGCACAATACACTGGAACAAATTCAATTTGGAAACGAGTCTGGGGGATTTCATGATCAAATCACCACTTCCAGCTCAGTTTCCTGCGCTTTCTCAAACCGGCATCCTCCAACACTCCGTCCCCCCAAGAAGGCCTTCACATCACCTGCGCGGCTTGCTCCACCCACCCACCTCTTCCCGTTTCGAACTCGAAGGTCCAGGTCTCGAAGCGGCACTCCAGCACGGAGCCTTTTGCTTGATGTTGAAAGGCCACCGCTGACATCTTGTGTCCTCACCGTTGACATCTTGTTTTCTCCGCTGGGTGGTTTTTCGACGCCCGCATCATCGACTCGCTGGAGAGCGAGTCCAACTTGGGGAACTCGTTTTGGAAGAGGAAGAGTTTGGAAGCCACAACGAAGGCCATCGAGGTTGGGGAAGCTGTTGTTTTTCGAAAAGCTCCTTTTTGTGGTGGGGGGCTATGATTGTTTTGAACAACATATTACAGCACCTTCATCGTTTTATCTAAGAAAGCTGTAAGGGTTCGACAAGTGCTGGCATGCGACCTCTAGAAAAGGTCATACAATTGTCCAACCCCATGTGCTGTTCCTATCAAGGGCAGGGCTTCAGTTCATCTTTGGCTTGTGGATCACTGTGGATGGGTCAACACCAGGAGTTCTGGTCTACCGTATACTGAAGCCTGTGAGAATCAAACTCAGGTTTCGAGCCACCATTTTCACACGGACGTACTCTTGCCGAATTGCTTTGGATCCTTCTTTGGGGGAAGGGCTTCTCCAAATAGATCAGCACCATCAGGACAAGAATATTCGATTGCCGAAGCCGAAGAGAAGTAGCGGCTTATAGTAGGTTTGGATCTTCAACACTCAAAGTGCTACGGAATCATCTGGCTTCCACCATGGTGTTGTCCTCCGTGTGGGTTCCCCCAGCAGTCCGTGTTCGACTCAACAACGGGAGGCCTTCCAGGCAGCTGGACTTGATGAAGGCTTCCGCCTGGCCCCGCACCAAGATGCCGCAGCCCTTGTTGGACTCCAAGCGGCTCTCACTCAGACCTGGCGAAGCAGCGGGGAAGGCCGAAGGAACCACGGCATCTGTCGTAGACCAATCGACCTCATCGGGAAAAAGAAGCTCACCTTATCGATCCCAACGCAGTGCAATTTCATCCAACTCAGAACGAATCTCTTGGCCGGGAACCCATCGCCATGCATACCACCTCCGAAAACCCTCCGAAAACCCTCGCGGCGCCGCCGACAACGAGCGCGTGCCGCGCGGGCCGACCGAAATCGAACCATCCGAGGGGCGAAGGCGCGTGGCATCCCGGAGCTGAATCACTGGTCCTCCGTTCTTCGTCAAGCTGCTCTGCTGGACCTCGCGCGGTGCGGGCAGTGCGGCGCTTGCGCGGACGGGACGCAGGCAAGTGAAGCGGAGCCAACGTACCACGTGGGCCGCGGGGTGGTGGGAGGTTTCGGAAAGAGCAAGAAAGACAACACCAGTGAGAGGAAGGAACGGCAAGGGAATGCAAGGGAAGTCACCACTGGGCTCACCTTCTTAAGGCTTTATAGTTAATATATGTTAATATAGTTATAATATAAGTTGCAAGTCAAATAGATCTGCGATGGCACTACTTTTTCACGGATGCCTCAGATCCTGCAGATCCTGCAGGTCTGGGGCCAAACTCTTACATCTCCAGTCTCGGTCGAGGGGAGAAACCCTTCCTTCGACCTTCTTGGAGCTCCTGGGCCCCTTCTTCTGACCCCCCCAAAAACCCGGTCCCACTCTCAAACCCGGAGAGAAAAGGTTTGAAGAGCCAGGTGGCGCCTGATGACTCAATGAATTGGTTTAAGGGGATCAATCTGCAGGAAACCCATGTTTTCACCACCAAAACTATAGAGTTTTCTTTAAACCAAACGCTCCGAACAGCCCGACTGGTCCCTCAAAGCCTAGGGATTGGTTCGAAACCCCAGACCCCTGAGCAGTTCGGATTCGGGTCCAACCCCTTATGAGGGCCCAGGGTCACGTCTGGGTAACAAAGGGCATCGCTACTAGGAGCTAGCTAGCTACTAAGTAGCGATGCCCTTGTTACTAGTAGCGTCCTAGTAGCCCCTGGGTTGCCAATTCTGGGAGATCACCCTTTTCCCACTCCCCGCGGCCGAAGGACGATTCTCGTCTCGTTCGGCGGTGAGGTACACGTGACTCTCGGCCCCCAGACGCGTGTGGCGCCGATGAGACGTAACACGGTTTGACCATGTTGAAAAACAGAGCGAATGGACTCCTCTCTGCCCATTTCCATACTGCTTCTCATATCCACAGAACCACATATTTCGGCAATCCTCCAAAACAGGGGTCACTCAGGTTCTAGGTCCATACAACCAAACACCCACTACCAGATCGTACTCTCCCATCAATCCAGGTGCTGTGATGGACGCTGCGTTTCTTGCGGAGATACAAGTGCCTCGCAGGGCGGTGAGGAGCTATGGGAGCCCTAGGCTTCCAACTACAGAACCACCATTGTTTTACTATAATGATCTTACAGAACGAAAAACAGCTCAAACATTTATAGTGATCCCCAAGTTGATGGAAACGGTTTCCAATCTTTTTCCAATACATCTTTAGTGCGAATCTTGAATTTGGGTTCTCTATAAAACATCGTCTGGGTCTTGGGACGCTCGATTGAATGGCCCCTGGAATGGCCCTTCCGCGCATCACCATGGGCATGAATCCTGGGCTTTGCCTATGAACGAACTCTCTCTCTCTCTCTCTCTCGGGGTTGGTTTTTATGCGTGTCCATTTCATCGGCAGCGAATCATAATATTGAGCAACCCCCACGCAGACTAACATGGAACTTGAGAATTGACCAGTGGAAGACCATTGGAACCTCTACAACCCAGTGGTTTCGGGGCTCTATGTTAGTCGGGTTTCGGTCGGGGAGACCACGGTCGGGGAGACCGGCTCGCAGCCAGCTGGGGTGTGGGACAATGAGTCATTATTGGAACATCAAAGAACGATATCAGCATTAATTACCTGGACCCTCCAAAAGTACCTTAGAAAATGGGACATGACATGACCCCATAAAAACAGGTACTTGTACCCATTTTCCGAGGTACGAACGAGTCGACTCCAGGTATTCATATGATGCGTTAGTCTAGAATCCTAGAGGTCCAGCCTGACCCAGGTCCAGTCTCCTGGTCCTTGATCCCCATTGTGTAGCGGGTAGTGTTTCCATATGACAAGGATCCCTATACGGGAAGTGTTGAAACTCATAATATGCTTCTGGAATATTCTGGGCATGATGAATCATAACACTTTCATTAGTGTGATGGGAAGCACTCAGGTGCTTGGTGCACAAAAAAACCTGTCAGCCCCGAGTGAAACTCATGTGACGAACTCACCATGTCCAGGACGGCTGGTGCGAAAGCGGTGAAATCACCGAAGAAACACCCTCAAAATCACGGTGCCTGGATTCTCCTCGAAGCGACACTCCTTCAAGGTCACATCGGAGTCCTTGGTTGGCCGGAGGTTCTCCATGGCCCACCTGTAGTCCACCAAAGCAACTTGTTGGGTTGAAGATGGCTCGTTCCAGCGATTATCTGACTGGGTAAAACCTTGGTATTGAAACCTGATCATGATGACATGGAGAAACAACCATGGACTTCCTTCCAGCGCGTGTCGCACCGTCGCGAAGCTCCAGAGTCCTGGAGCTCCGCTTCGCAAGAGGGCGCCGTGCAAAGGCCGCAGGGAGAGAAAAACGGGCAGCGTCTCTCTTTTGGTTACATTATCATACACATCATTACATCCGAATGAATTAGCAAACTATTTTCTATTCCCCTCTAACACAAGAGTGAGGGAAGGAGTTGGATCTGGCTGACAACCCTTCCAACAACTCGAGGGTGAAGCCACATCTGCATCTCCGATCTCCGCCCAGGCGCATCGCGAAAGCACACTGCAGCGGATTTCCAGCCCTGGAAGGTGCAGTGCTCCAGCCGTAGTTGGGCTTTGCCTTTTGTAGCGACCTTGGAAGGGAGTTCAGAGTGAAAAAGGTGCGCCAGGGAGTCCAGCACTCATCGTTAAGCACCATATCACGGAACTCATCATGAAACCTTGAATATCCTTGAAACTTGATATATCGTCATACTTGATGTAGTGTTGATCATCAGTGATTAATGACGCAATCACGCACTGATGAATGGTGATCCTCACACTAGTGTGCTCAGATTCAGCCGAACCAGTCCGTTGAAACCGAAACGTGATTTCACACCCAATTCCCATCCCACACACTCCAGCCACTCCTTCGAAACAAACACAAACTACCACAAGACTCCTCCGTTCGCCCCAACCCTCCCTCCGCCAAGCCACTCCAGCACTCACCTTCCCCCAGACAGCCGCGGGCGGCACCACCCGACAGCGCCGCAGCGTCGCCGCGCCCAACACCTCCACGGGGCCCTCGACCGTGACGTCGCAGAGCGTCCGCGGCGCGTCGTATGACGCGGCGTCGGGCGCGGCGGCCGCGGCGAAGGAGAGCAGCGGTGGAGGGACACCGGTCTGGGCGGAGTTTGGGTGGATGCTTCGGAGGAGTTGGGTGGATGTTGCGGAGCATATCAAAGTTTAACTTGGGAGGTGTGGTACCTGTGTGAGCGGTAGCGAAGTCAGAATGTGAGAGCCAAATAGCGTGCGTTTCCTGTGGGTTGCAGGAGAAAGTTACTTCTATCAACACCTCCTTTTGAGGTGGAACCAAACCATCTGGTATCTGTTGATTGCTGCCGGTGGGGCCGCAGTTGGGGCCACCTTCAAAGTTGAATTGATGTGTTTTGCACCCTTTACACTGTGTAAGCCCTGTGCGCCGAGACGGCGTTCTGGATTCTGGATGATTGTGGGCCTTCTGAAAGTCGCTCAACCGTGAAAGGGCCTTTTGCAGCAAATGACCACTTTGACACTTGCCTGCGATGCCCGAAGAGGGTGCTCCGGAAAAGTGTGCTAGAAAAAGTAAAACTATGTTGTGAATCTTCGAGATGACAATCGTTGCCATAGATCCATGTCGGGCTTTATCTACCTGTTGGATTTGAGATGATGTGAGTGGGTACACACCCCCTGAAAGGTGACCTGCAGGTGGTCCATGTACTTCCTTGGTATCATGAATCATGATCCAACATGTGGGTCTGTAGTTTCATAGGGAGACACCCACCCCATGGGTTTTTGGCCTTTGCAATTTCATGCAGTCGACGACATGCAGTGACCACCCCCAGCTAAGCGTGAGGTGAACACACGAACCCAACCAAGGGGTAGACCAGTCTATTTCCCTTCTTCCAGGGGGTCGAGACGCCTGGGAGGTCTCCCTGCTTGAACACACCCCCCCTGTCCACATCCCCGTCCGGCCGAACGGCCACTGTTCGTGCCGCCGGCGCCAGCACGGTGCCCGACCCACCCAGCAGAACGCAGGTGCCATCGATGGCCAGGGCTTCGCGAAAGGTCGTCTTCGGGGCCAAGAGCACGGTGCAGGGTGGCCAAAAGGGGAGCTTGGCCAAAGCTTCCTGGGCGCAGCGGAGGAAGTCATTTAGCCTGGGAAGCGGAGTTAGAACAGTTGAATTGGTAGTAAACCGGAATGATTGGGAGATGTGGGCTATGAATATGCTACCTCTGGTGAGCTGCTGTTACAGTGTTTGTGTTCTTGTGGCCCCTCACTCGCGCGGCTCTTCAAACATCCGGTGAACCGCCCGGTTCCCTCGGTACGTCACCAAAGGACCCTCCAACGCCCCCATGGCGAAGGTTCGATCTTGAGGCATATCCGTCCTCCCAGCAAACAATGGAGAGTGCCTAAACAGGACCAAGGCCACCAAAAGTAGTACTAGTAGTAGTAGTAGTGGTCGTAGTGGTGGTAGTAGTAGTATTAGTAGTAGCAGTAGCAGTAGCAGTAGTGGTGCAGTAGCAGTAGTAGTGGTAGTAGTAGTTGTAGTTGTAGTAGTAGTAGTAGCAGTAGTAGTAGTAGTAGTGGTAGCAAGTAGTAAGTAGTAGCAAGTAGTAGAACAGTAGTATAGTAGTAGTAGTAGTAGTAGTAGTAGTAGTAGTAGTAGTAGTAGTA